TAAGAAAAATAAAAATTATCACACGTTTGACAGAAGAATATAAAACGAAAAAAAAAAAAACGCAGTGTTAAGAAAAATAAAAATTATCACACGTTTGACAGAAGAATATAAAAACGAAAAAAAAAAAAAACGCAGTGTTAAGAAAAATAAAAATTATCACACGTTTGACAGAAGAATATAAAACTATCAACTGATAATGTCGTATTTTTTCGTACTACCTAAAATTTAAAAAATAATCATTGTACTGTAATCTGTATATCAGATCTAAACGAAGGAAATATGACTATTGAAGGGAATGAATAAATATTTGAAAGAAATTTGAATAGTGAAAGAAATATTGAATCATCGTGCTACTAATACAAAGATTTGCGATGACTTATTCAAGCAATCGTTTATCAATAAATAAGCTTACTTTGCGATATGCAAGCATTTTAATTAAAATAATAAAGAACAATAACACATGCCATGATTACTATAAAATATTCTTCTTCCTGTGATAAGAATCCACGTAGAAATGATAAGATAAATTTCGATTGAATATAAGCGAACAAGCCTTCTGTAAACAGTCGTTCTTTATAAGACAAGACTACCATAAAATTATCAAGAAATTAACATTTAATCAAATTAATAATATCAGTATTTTACGCATCACTAATTAATCTTTATATTAAACTCTGAAAATAATCATCAGATGGTTCATTCAAGTATTAATTAGGATTACGATGATAAGTTACATTGTTTGCTTTCATGTTTGCCAAGTCAAAAAATTGTTGGTTGATTTTTTGATTGAAATTTGGAATTTTTCTCAAATAGATGATTTGTTATGTAAAATCAATAAAATAAATATTTTCGCAATTAAAGTAATGAATCATCTATTCAAATTCAATTCTTCCAATTTCAATTCCAATACTTAAATACAATATCTGTTTAATTAAGCTTACATGCGATTGTTAAAATGTTGTAAGGAATTTTAATGTGCAAATATCAAAATATTATCGACAATTTCTTGTCTGTATCTAAAATATTAAACCACTCCCGCTAAGAGGATATGTCATCCTCATTTGTCTCATTTCAATATATTCTATGTCTTTTTTTTTCTCTTTTAAAAGCTGCTAATTATATGCTTTATAATGTCTTTTAAAATCCTAATTCAGAAAATAAGAGAAGTTTCATGAAGCTGTAGATTAATGAATAAGTGGCAAGTTTTTTTTTTTTTTCCATCTTAATATCTTGAGAAATATAAAAAAGTGCAATTTGCTTAATTGTTTTAGGAGTTTCCATGACAATTAACCACTTATGAATCATTTCATTTCAAATTCCATTTTTGAAAAAAAATGCAAAGATGATGGATGATGGAACATAAAATCATACTTAATTTTCATACAACATTCTGAATTTCTAGTCAAAAAATTATCTTTAATACCTTACTACCAAATAACTGTGACACTATAATCGCATGAATTATCCTAAGCTTCTGTAGAAATTGAATGGAAATTAATTTAGTTAAAATAAATTGATAATATATAATAAACTTTCAGAAAATTTCAATTAAAAAATAAAATGTCAAAATAGTTATTCGTTACAATAAGCTTTTTATATCTTTTTTATTCGAAAAAATATCATATTTTAATTGGAATAATTAATTCAACAGACAAGAATGCAAATTCAATGTCTTATGGTGGTTTGAAGCCGATAAGTGGTCGTCGCTGGTGCTACTATTGACGATCTCCCACAGATACTCGTCTTCCAAATCATCTTACGATTGATAATTAGAAAAGCTATTCTGGAAACAAACAATATTATATCATTTGAATAAGTTTGAAAAATAAATATATATGAAATTAATTTTAAAACATTTAAATGCAAGAATTTGGAAGATCTTCTTGATAAATCATGATAAAAGTATTAAAGTAAATAAAGATATTGCAATTGATAATATAATAAGATTTAAAAAGCAATCAATAATGATTCTTATCATCTTAATCAATTTTGGTTAAAAAATGATGAAAAAATTTCTTACCCATCCACTGATTGCAATAGAATCCATAAAATTGTACTTGTTAAAAATAACAACCATTTATTCGTAAACAGAAATGATTGAGCCATGAATAAAAGAACGCATACGATGTAAATGAAGTTAACCATACATGACTATAAGATGTCATTGAAAATGTCACATCATAACATAAGTTCAAGATTTCAAATGGGGTAATGCCTACTTTAGGGACAATTTTCAGAAAATATAGTATTAAGAAAAACAAAAGAAAAAAATTATTAAACAGGTCATCTTTAACAATTTTAACATCTATTTCAGCTTCTCTTAATACTTTTTTCTTTCGGTATTAGTTGAATTTCTCTTGTTTACCTTACCTTTTTTTCTTTTCTTGTTTACTCTTGTTAACATTGTTTACCTGTTTAAAGAATAACACCTCTCGTTGATTGATAGCATTATCAGTTGATGTTGTCGTATTTTCTCGCATTGTCTAAAATTTAATTTAAAACAATCATTGCAATGTAATCTGAATATTGGATTACTAAAAAAAAAAAGAAAAATACACGCATGAAATATTGTAGTACTTATTAAAATATGCAATGAATTACTCAAATAATCGTTTATCAGTAAATAAACTTACTGCACGATAAGCAAGTATTTTAATCAATGTAATGGAATCAGTGCATGCCATGATTGTTATTGCAATGATTGATATTGCACTATCAATATTGCTGCAAATTTGACCGTAATAAGAATTATCGTAAAAAAAGCGATAACTTGAATTTTGATTGAATATAAGCGAACAATCTTCTGCAAATAAATGTTATCTTCTTATATAATTGTTATGAAATTTACAGAGAAATTAACATTTAATAAAATCAATAATATCATTATTTTACATCTACTAATTAATCCTAATATAGTATTCGAGAAATGACGATATTAGCTTGAATGTTAACTAAGATTTATGATGACAAAGTAGTGATATTAGCCTTTCATATAAGTCGTATCTTATCAGTAAAATTTATCGAAATTAACTGCTAAAGCTATTTTAATTGAAATATTCTTTGGTTTAATTGAAAAAATTTATTCGAAATTTATTTTGATATAGTATTTCGCATAAATAACGACAAAAATAAGTCATTTAGTGCCAAAAATGATAAGGATTTTTCTTGTAAATGATAAGAATCTTTTTGTAAATGATAAGAATCTCTTGTAAATGATAAGAATCTTTCTTGTAAATGATAAGAATTTTTTTTTTTTGATTATAATAAATTTACCGCATAAGTTTCCGATAGATATGAATGTTCCAAGTAGCCATGAAAAAATTCCAGCAATAGTAGCCTTTGATTTTGACCATAATCGATTATATTTCATTGGATATACAACAGCACAAAATCGATTAAAGCTAATAAAGAAATGCGCAAAAACTGATCCAAAATATGGTCCATTTACTAAACTGCCTATTATTCGTGCTAATAATGATTTTGATGATGATAGCATATGAAATTCTCTGAAAGAAATTTTTTTTTTAAAATGAATAAAATAAAAATTTATAAATTGAAAGCAAAAATATTTAATAAAAATTAGAAATTTTAAAATGAATAAAATAAAAATTTATAAATTCATTGGTAAGAATATTTAATTTAAAATTAGTTTAACTTAACAGGGCTAAAACAATTGTACACCATATGCAGAGTACAGTTATCGATTGCAAATTACATATGAATGAACTAGTGCATAAAATTCCATATGCATTATGAAAATGTGATCTTGTACGTATTATATGCAATGATAAAGTATTACTGATAAATCCCAAAATCCATGCCTATAACATATTAAAAATGTTAAAAAAAAAAAAGGTAAATTAATTAACTTTATTGTTTATATTATAATATAAAAATTTTTACAAATAAAATTATGCGAAATTAAAAAAAAAAAAACAAGCACGATTGTAATCGTTGGAATTCATTTTTCATATTTAATAATCCTCAATAAGACAGAATCAGAAATTATATTCGTACTTTCAATATTTGTTGAAAATATTTATTAAAATTATACGAAATTAAATATCACGACGATTGTAATCTTTGAAATCCTATTTTCATATTTAATAATCATTAATAATATAGAACCAGAAATCATATTCATATCTTCAATATTTGTTGAAAATATTTTTACATCCTTTACAATGCCTACTAAATTGAGGATTTATCACCGCAATTACTTTTTATTATTATCATTTAAACTGAATTTATTAATCAATTATTTATTTAATAAAATACTAACCGCAATAATACAAGCCACTATTTTATCGTCATCAGTATCATCATATTCAGGTATTATGGTACTGGTAATAGACATAATAAATTTTGAATTCTCTAGATTTATTCAATCTTTTTT